TAGGTGCAGGTTAGGCGGCAGCCTTGGGGAAGAAATCTATGCTTGCATGTAATACGATTGGACATGTAGGGAGATGCCATTTGACTTGGCGAACGAGTTCAAAATTGAAAGGTGTCGCCATCCCATATGGAGAATTAGAGGTGGCATGGGTTGCAGTGTAGGTGTAGGCTAGGTGGCAGCCTTGGGGAAGGAATCTCTGCTTGCATGTAATATGATTGGACATCTCAGTTGGAGAATTAGAGGTTACTTACTGTTGTTTTATTCAAATTCAGTACAACCTATTTAATCCTACATTTATCAAAACACTTATACACAATCACTCAAACACTCGAACATTCAAAAATTCAAACAACCAACTCAAAGACTCAAAGACTCAAACACTTAAACCTTCAAACACTCAAACCTCCAAACCTTCAAACAGTCAAACAAAATGGCCTCTGCACCATAATATGTGATCAGTGCACATTTCAACAGTGAGACATACATTTGTCCCACCTCTGGGTTTTTGTTTAGAGATACTGAGAACATCCGATTTTGTTTAAACAGGAAAGCCAATTTCTTGTATTTTAAAAAAGGATTGGAGGCCAAACTTGGACGAGGTCTCGTGACACAAATCTTTTATCAGAATCTTTTTTTTTGTGACAACCAAATAATATTTTATAAGGTTAAGGTTCAAGATGATGAGGACCTTCAGAATATGTTTTCCAGTCATGAGTATTCTGGATACAACTCTATTGAGTTGTACATTATGATGCGGGAGCCTCAGGTGTCATGACCAACCCAGTCACAAGTGGTTGATCCTCTCGAAGACGAACAAGCAGAAGTAGATGTTGTTGACGAAGAAGAGGAAGATGACGAGTTAGAGTTTGATGACATGGTAAACAATGACTCTGAAGACGATGGGATACCTGGTATACCTCTGAACAAGATCTACACACCACCTCCACACATGTAAAACTTCAACATGGGCGGAGATAAACCGTCATTTGATTTATTTTTCAATCCGTATATGCAGTTGGATGAAAACTTAAAAGAGAAAGAAAATTTTCATAATAGAGAAGATTGTATCCGAGCCATAAAAAAGTTTCACATGCTCAACTCGGTCGATTTTAAGGTAGATCGTGTAAATCCAAAAAGGTACAAGCTCAGGTGTGTCCACCCAGATTGTATGTTCAAGCTCACTGCATCATACAAATTAAGAGGTGATTGTTGGGTCATAGGTTCTATGTCCACCCACACGTGCGTCAATTCTACTCAATCACAGGATCATCAGAAACTAAATTATGATCTCATATGTCAAGAAATCCTACCTCTCTTCAACAATGATCCATCATTGAAGGTGAAAACCATAATCTCTCACATCACTATGGTATATAACTATACTTCGTCACACCAAAAGGCGTGGTTAGCAAAGACCAAGGCGATTGAAAAGGTATTGGAAACTGGGAGGAGTCATACAAAGAACTTCCTCGCTACCCGAATACACTTCAGACTTATTCTCCAGGTACTATTTATATTATGGAAACACTACCGGCGTACGCCTCAGATGGTACTCAAGTCATCAGAAATAGAATATTCAGTTGAGTGTTATGGGATTTTCAACCTTGTATCACAGGGTTTACGTCATGCAAACCTATTTTATTCAAATTGATGAGACTTGGTTGTATGGGAAATACTAAAAGCACGCTACTGATGGCAGTTGCACAAGATGGCAACAACAACATTTTCCTAATTGCCTTTGCTCTAGCCGAGGGAGAGACTTGTGGTGATTGGAGTTTCTTTCTCAAGAATATCCGAACACTCATGGCTCCGCAACCAGATCTCTGTTTGATCTCCGATAGACATGCATCTATTGAGAGTGCATACAACAATCCTGCAAACAGTTGACGTGACCCTCCTTCTACGCATGTCTATTGCATTAGATATATCGTCCAAAATTTCACGAGGGAGATCAAAGACAAATCTCTTAGGAAAGCGGTTATGAATGCAAGGTATGCATTAACACAACCTACGTTCAAACACTATCGCAACGAGATCAGATTGTCAAATCCGGATGCAGGTAGGTGGATTGATAATACTCCGGTGGAGAAATGGACTAGGTCATACGACAATGGACAACGATGAGGCCACATGACAACAAATCTGATTGAATCCATGAACGAGGTATTCAAAGGCATAAGAACCCTCCCAGTAACTGCATTGGTTAAATCAACATATTTTAGGATGGCTTCGTTGTTTGCCAAAAGAGATGAAATGTGGAATGCTGTCTTGCAACCGGGACAACTATGGAGTGACAACTACATGAAGTATATTAAGGCAGAAAGTTCCAAAGCCAACACCCACATGGTTATACGGTTTGACCGACACAGCCATAACTTCATTGTCAAAGAGACAATCGACCACAACGAGGGGCTGCCAAGACAAGAGTATAAGATTATACTACCTTCTCGTTGGTGCGATTGTGACAAGTTTCAAGCCTTTCGTATACCTTGCTCTCATGTCATTGCGGCATGTGCCTATACTCATCAAGACGCATTACAACTTCTATCTCCCATTTACAAGTCTGAAAGCTTGCTCAACGTATACAACAACAATTTCCCATTGATAGCAAAACCTGATTATTAGCCTGTATACGACAGCGAAATAGTTTGGCACAACGACCAAATGCGAAGGAATAAAAATGGTCGTCCCAAAAGCATGCGCATCACAACTGAAATGGACTCACTGGACAACCTAGAAAGAAAGTGTGATTTATGGCGTCAGGTCGGACACAATCGCAAAAATTGTCCGACTCAGGCTACTAGCTCAACCACATAAAAATTGTATGCAAAACATCTTTACTTTTTTAAGTTATAAACATTACGGTTTTTCATTAAGAGCATTTGTTACAACAAACCTCGCCCAAACAACAAATAAACACGATAAAACGTCTAAGAAATTATAATCGTTAAAACAATTTCATCTGACCCATACATCATCAACATTACGTCTCTGTCTATTTTGACTTCCTCCAACCAAAAATTAGGTCTTCCGGTTGCAAGTGAGGTGGCCGTTCTTCTTCGCTGGATCCTTCTAATTTGTTCCCCATCCTCGATGTCTCCCTCTAGCCATCACATCAACTCTCTCTTCAGACGTTCTATGGAGTGAATGTGCCAAATTTTTATTTTCATCAGAGGTTTGGTGGCCGAGAAAATAACGTAATCATCTCTGGTAAAAATCATGGGAGATGTCATGACACAAATAACAGAGAAAAATAAGAAGACAGTGCGAGAAAGTGTGAAAAATGACAGAGAAACGAATGACTTATTTATAAAAAAATACATTTTGCCCTATGAGGCAAGTGAGATGGCGCCTCCTCTCACTTTTAGAGTGCATGCGCCATCTCACTCAGCTAAATGAGAGAGCATGCGCCAAGTGAGATGGCGTCTAGGGCAAATGGCCTAGTGCAGGCGCCAACTGGGTTGACTCCTCCTTTGTGAAATTTTCTGAAACATTGTTATTTGCGTAATTTTCTCCGAAACATGGTTATTTGTGAATTTTTTTAAAAGTTAGTTATTGCAAAAAAAAATTCTGAAATTTTTTTTTTATATGAGAATAAGTTTTTTATTGATCTAAATATTTTTATAAATTATGTTAAAATAAAATATTTATTAATTTTAATATTTTTTTTAATTAAAAATATATATTAGAAATAAATTATTAATCTAAATATTCTAATAAATTATATTAAAATAAAATATTTATTAATTTTTATTAAAAAATATATATTTAAAATAAATATGTGTTCTATATGAGAACCCGTGAACGCACGGATTTGTTACTAATAATATAAACGAAAACAAATTTTTGTAATATAAGCATGATGTATCGTGCAAAGAAGTGTACTAATATGTGGATTTTGCTTCATACTCTGTACGGTAAACCACACTAATTGATTGCATTAGTCATAAAATTCTAATTGTTGTTTAATAAAAGGAGTGTAACCGAAAATAAAACTATATTATTTCTATTTCAATTTTCTCTTCAATTAATGAAAATTATTCAGAAATTAAAAATATTGTTTTAAGTCACCAAATAATCAATACTAATGAAATAATGAAAAATGAGAATTAGAAATAATATAAATGCAAATCCAGATAATCACTTAAAATTATAAAAAAATAAAATGTATTTTTCTTTTCTCCGTATGGCAACTGTAGAATATTCTACTCGTACTTAGAATTTCCAAGTCAAAATAATTGAACGCATTAACAGACAATAATAACAAATAAACACAGCTGGAAAATCAAAATGCTTGAATAAAAATTTAAAATTAATAAAATAATTTTCTTGTGCGATACCAGAAACAATCTCATTTTAACCTTCTCAATTTCTACCTTTTTTACTTTTTCTCTTCACGTGCATGAAAAAACAAAAAACAAAAACCAAATAATAATAACTCATCACTTTCTCTTTTGAGGTTTTGACTTCAAACATCTTTCGTTTCTTCACCGTTTTCTTTCTCAGGTTCGTAACTTCTCTTCCATCAACCATTTTTCGTTTCCACCATTTTCTATTTTTTTTTTCAATTCAATTTTCGTATTATATTAACTAATCATAAACTTTGATTAATTTCATAGATAATTGTAATTTTTCTGTGATAATCATTGTTTAATTTGATGTTATAATTAAATTGAAAATTGAATTAGGGTTACGGTTGTGCTTGTTTCAATTTCAATTTCTATCATGTCTTTGTTCCTTATCGATTTTGTTAAATCTTCAGAATAATTAGGTTTCCTTGATTTTTCCATTAATTACTTGTATGTTGTAATATGATATCATAGATCTAATGTTTTTTAAACGGTATTAAGTTTTTATATATAGGGGCTGTTTGGATTGACTTACTCTATAAGTGCTTATATGATTGATATAAGCACTTATTTTATAAGTGATTAACTAAACTGGTTATCTTAACAAGACTATAATCTGAAGTTGAGATTTTATTTGATTTTATTTTGCAGATGGCAAGTGGGTTTGGGGAATCAACAAGCAGGTCGCCCCCAAGCCCTCCCTATTCGAGCAATAATAATAACAGTGATGCTGGAAATTTTGAATGCAACATTTGCTTTGACTTAGCGCAGGATCCGATAATTACGTTGTGCGGTCATCTTTTCTGCTGGCCTTGTCTTTACAAATGGCTTCACTTTCACTCGCAGTCGCGAGTGTGTCCGGTGTGTAAGGCGATGGTTGAGGAGGAGAAATTGGTTCCTTTGTATGGGAGAGGAAAAACGTCGACTGATCCCAGATCAAAGTCTATTCCCGGTGTTAATATCCCTCATCGTCCGGCTGGACAGAGACCTGAAACTGCTCCTCCACCCGAATCGAATCCATTTTCTCAACATGGATTTGGATTCACCGGAGGATTGGGAGGATTTGCACCGGCAGCAACTACAAGATTTGGAAATTTCACATTTTCTGCGGGATTTGGTGGTTTTATACCATCTTTATTTAACTTTCAGATGCATGGATTTCACGGCGGGGCCATGTATGGCGGAGCAGCCGGTTTCCCTTACGGGTTTTCCAATTCATTTCATGGTGGCCATGTTCATAGATATCCTCTGCCCACAGGTCAAGGACAACAAGATTATTATCTGAAGATGCTGATGATGATTGTTATTTTTTGTGTGGTACTTGCTTTCATTATTGGATAGAGTTGAAATTACGGATAGAACCAACCAGACTTAAGCTCTTATCAATCTTCCTGTGTGCCTTTTTTCATTATTATTTTGTAACTGTGGGGTTGTTCATATCATACTCTCTTGTTACTCTTGTAGTTTGTCTCTAATTAGTTTATCGATCTTGATTTGCATCCTCATGCAAAATTTCATTTCAAGATCACGAAAGCGAATGCAGATATAGATGTTAGCATTATGATTATTTACTGAATATATATATACCTGTCAAATGGTTATTGAAATTATAGTTTTCCCCTCTTATTTTTGTTGTCACTTTGATAAATACATCTTGTTGTGTTCATCTTATGTCATAAATCATTTAGATATTTACTGCTTATGGTCCATTAGCTTAATTGTTCATCAGGGTTATGCTTGTTAATTCATTTGCTCTTAAAGATTAGGGGAGCCTCGACGGAATGGTTAGAGTTACTTCTGCGTGACTAGGCGGTCACACGTTCAAATCAGCCTATTGCAAATGTAAAGTACGGCTGCAGATAATATATCTACAATGGGTCTGACGTTTCCTTGGAAGTCCTCGTGGCAGAAGTTTTATAGCACTACTAGGTTGCCTCTATTGCTGTTATAGATGAGGGTAAACATATGCATTATTGATTTTATTTGTTTACATAACATGAGCAAAGAATTGTTTCTAATGCCGATGTATTGAAAATTTAGTGCCTGTGCTCTTGTTGTGTTTTATAATTTGTTATTTTCTTTACAAGAGTGTTGTTACCCTGACCTCAATTCTGAAGGTCTCTCAGAAAGAGTCTCAGTATTGTGCCTCCATTACAGAGCAAAGCTTCTATACATGTCCCATGGATTTCAAACCTTGTTATTGCAATCAATTTGGTTTGTTTAGGTTCTTAACTTTTATCCGTTGTCTTGGATTTAGCCTTAGCAGTTTGGAAGTGATGTTATGTTATTGAGGTTCTCTCATTTCTCATTAACCAATGAACTCAATTTTAAATTATTTTTATTTTTGGTATGACAATTCTAGTTTTTTTTTCTTCATTATACTCCTGGGCACCTTCACTTAAACCTCAAAATTATTATTCAGTGTTAAATGAAAAAGCATTCACCACTTTTGAAATTAAAGTTCAAAGTATTTTCATGGCTTATGTAGTTCTCTGTGTACGACCCTGAATTCCTTTTAGTTTATTTTTATTTGATTGCCCATAAAATAATATGATCCACTTGTTGAGATATTTGTTTTGTGTTATTGTTACTAATAGGTCTTTGTTCTATGTATTTTTGTATTCATTTCATAGTTTCCAACAATGTCTATTGTCTTTATACTTTTTCTTCTATTGTTTGTATAGGAATAAAAAATGCATTTATAATTTCATCCAGTAATTATATTTCTGGTTTTAACTAGTGTTAAACAAAAAAAAAAAAAAACTGAAAATACATTTCCGGTTTTGCAAGAGGATTTACATAATGGCATATGGTGTTTTTCAATCCTATGGGATAGATTAAAAAATTCATAACTAAGTCTTGATTTGCATTAATAAAATACAAGTGTTGGTTCTTGATTTACACTAAGTTGGCTCATAGCATGCGATACAACATAGGAAGATTGGTTTGATTTAATTTTTGAGAGAAATATGTTTGAAATAATTCTAAAATTGTCAATTTAGTTTGTTTTTGTAATACTTTTTATAATAATTGCAAATGTCTATTAGTATTGCATCGATTCTTTAATGGCCAAAGAATAATGAAGACATTTTTAAAGGCTAAAACCATAAGGGAGGAGTCAGGTTCAAGTCATAAATTGTTCCAATGAAAGTGGGAGGCCAATTGAATAAATATATTTGATTTATCTGATAATGGGAGGGTGCTAAATGACCTCCTTGATAATAGGAGCATTGAGAGGGTGGATCTGCACTTTGAATTTATGAAGGATTCTAAAATCAGGCATTGTTAAAGTTTGTCTAAACCGTGAAATCATTAATATTCTCATCAAGTATAACAATGTGGTCTAAGAGATGTCTCATATTAGGAAAATGCAAGTCCACATCTAGTTGGATGCTCCATTGGTGGTTTAAAATAAAAATCATCAATCTTTGCCTTAAGGTGATGATGAAGGTGATAAGGAATTAGCAGAATTTGCTCAAGAGGCTGAAGACCCCACCATTTATCAAGCCAAAAAATAGACACTAAGGTCATCACCAATGACAAAGCAAGAGTTATCCTGGACCACATTGAAATTAGACATGATACTACTCTAGATGTAAGAAAAATTATGGTACTTGATGAAGGAATTCGCTCTAATAACCATGCTTCTCAAAAGGAAATCCCAATGTTCTTTGGATTGAGAAAGATCCCAACATAGTAACAATTTTGAAGCCTCGTTAATTGCAATTAAAAATTTGAAGCCTAAGCAAGCAACCTTCAAAGCAAGGCAAACAAATTTTCTTCCTAGTAACAGGCACAATCTTCCTTTGGTTAATGTCTCGTAACCAAATAAAATTCTTTATCCATTTGTCTAAATCTCCCAACAAGGAAATAGGTCGATTGAGTAGTCAAGCATGTTGTATATGAATGATTTGACCTAACTTGTGAATTACAAGTACGCCATTTTATACAAGTACTAATATCGAATACAAATTTGATACTGGTACGTATGTGCATGGTACACGTATTGTACATACCGAGTCCATACAATTTTTTTTAATAAATTGGTAGACACATGTACATATTTAATATGCGAATCCAAATAAATCATTTTCGGTTGCTACGATTTCAAATTATTTTTAGTGGGTCAAAATTAGGTTTTTTATTTTATTTATAAATCTATTGTTTTCTAGATGAGTAAGATCTATTTGATGATGTTTTTAAATTTCTACTCTTTCTCTTTGTAAACTTGATTTAGAAGGCACTCATTTAAATGATGTTGAGGAGAAAAATATTGATATTCTATCATGATTATCTTATTGTTATTTGATCAATTATTTTTATAGTTGTATTTTAAAAAATTATATAACGTATCAGTACTGATCGTACCTGATCAGAAAGGATTGTCAAAACCTACAAGTTTTGAGTCGAGTAGTAGTTGAATGTGAAGTGGGGAGGAGGGGGAGAGGGGGTACCAGTAAGACACTCCGATGCTAAAATGAGGTTCAGAGAAAATGCAAGTAAGTATGAGAATATGTGAGTGATTGAATACCTGACCTTCTCAAGTGAGAGGGTATTTATAGTCTCTAGCGCTGGGCCAAGGTCTTTAGTGTTAGGCCACGATGAGGCCCGACAACGAAGACTGCCAGAGTTTACGAGAGTATAGAGTCCAGCACGTGGCCTCCTTCCTGGTCAACTGCCCCAAGAAAGTAGGATTTAGACTCATTATTTTCGGAAAACAAGATGATGATGACATGGACGCGTGGGTTATGTCTTCCTAGTGGACGCGTTGCCCAACGGTCCTCAACTTGGGCTGCATGCTTTTGGGCCCTTGGTAAAGACGTTGGATTGGTTCTTCCCCACGGTGGGGCAAGTGTCAGCCCAATCTATAATATGGGCCCCCCAAATTATTTCTCTTAGGTGAAAGGGTGATGAATTAAGTTCAGCTCAACTGTCGAGAAGTATCGCCGGAGGGAGAAAATTGCCAACCTCCGACGGGGGCGTCTCCGTCGAGGATATAGAAAAATATACGAATGATATGGTCGACCAACTCAGTTGGCAGTCCATCGATCGACTTTGGTGTTGATATTGTCGGTTTGGTGTCCGTTAGGGATATATAATCATAGGATGCGAGGAATCTCCCCGACTAAGCGTCTTTGTCGTGCTCATATATAAGGCGTCGCTTTGATGTCAAGCTTCTACCCCGCCTTCGGGAGTAAAATGTCACAAGTATTCCCGTATGTAAGGCTTTGCCTTGAAGTCGCATGTTTTCCCGCTAATTGAGTGTGAAACGTTATCGATGTGCTCATACACAATGTTTCATAATGAAGTCAGGGATGAATTCGTCTTCACGAGTGGGCACGTGGCTTCTCGTCAACACCACGTGGCAGCTGCTTTGGGGTGCCATCTTTTCATAAGGGAGTTAAAATGCTTTAAGTAATAATGATTTTTCGCGTGCTGCCTCGTGAGGTGTGAACTATCTATAAAAAGGGGAATCTAGAGGATCATTTGTCATTTTTAGGCTCTCTTCTCCACTCTCCTTCGTTCGCTCGTGGATCAGCTCCATTCTAACGCCACCGTAGGCATCTTCAAAGATAATCTTCTTTCAAGTAAGTTATATCTTCTTGATAATGATTTTTCTCATAATTTTTAGATTAAGCACTTGGGTTTTGTCATGAACGGATGAATCCCTGGATGAAGATTCATGAGTTCTGAAGAGAATCTTCATGGATGTTCATCAAAGTTCATGGCTATGGATGAAGGTTCATAGGTCCAACTTCATAGATTTGTGTCAGGGTCATCCTCCCCGAATAGTGGGGAAGATTTAGGCGGCTTTTCCCGTTTAACCAAATGTCCCAGCGTAGGGCGTCGTTTATTCTGGTGTTGGCTGTCGAGGGCTTGGGTCGAGGTCTATTCTTCGACGCGTTCATCACTTTTTCACTTAATTTACAGTGGAAGGGTGAATTTGATGATGTCGAATTCACTATTTCCCCCTGATTTTCAGGTACGATGGCACACCAAGTCGAGGAAGATGTTGTGCCTGCCACTCACGAGGACGATACTACTTTCACGGAAGACCCTTTGGCATGGGTTGCGCCCGAGTCTAGGAACAAAAGGTTGTGTTTTTTGCAGGAAGCTTCTGACGCGTTCAACGGCACCGAGGTTCGAGCAGAGGGTGCTCCTGCCAATTGAGCTCTTCAAATCCTTCACCGAAATAGGAGGATATGCTCAGTATACTCAGGAAAATGCTTTCCCATGTATGATTTTGCTTTTAAGGAAGTGGGGATGCGTTTTCCATTCAACGACTTCCAGGTGGGGGTTTTCCATTGGTTACAATAGGCACCTTCCCAGCTTCATCCGAA